GAATATTTCACATATTGGTGCACATGGGCACTACACATTTGTTATATACGTGATGCATAACTTTATCGAATTTACATTTTATGACTAATCTTTACAATTAATTATTTATAACATTTGCGCTGCACTTAATCACATTTAACTGAAGGTGTATGTCACACCATGCTTACACTTCTATTGGGGCTCTGTGACCATTCCCCGGTCGGAGGGTGGAATGCCTGACGCATGGCTGGAGCAGCGCTGGCTGATGCCACATTCATCTATATATTCATCTATATACTAAGCACCAGGTTGGTGAGCGGCATGCCCTCTTTTCCTTGACAATGTCTCTACACTTCTGAATGGCACAAAGACGCCTGCTCCCTTCACTGGTACCAGTAGGGAGACCTTAATCTCAGCTTGGAGCGGCACTGCTAATATTACAAGGATCACTGCTATTGGAGCTGTTGTGCAATTTTTTTTCACATATAATATCACAAAAGAACATAGCAGCCAACAGGAGGAAGCATGGCACCCAATGGAGTACATGATGTCCAACGCCTCCAAATATGTTGAAGGGCTGATGGAGACAGTGAAGATTTCACTCATTGTATGCTAAACAGGTAAATATGAGTTTCTTGTATGGCTAAGAGCAGCTGGCTGTATTTTAGAGAAGCGGGTTGCTTTCACAAAAGCCAAAACCATAAAACCTCATTACTAAAAAGGCTAATCTGTTAGTTATGAGATGAGAATAGTCAACTAGTAAACAGGAATACAAGACTAGAATAGGCCTTAAAGTAACCTTGCTGCTTCACAAAAAATGCAAACACCTGCTCACTACAATAAAAGAAACTGAATACTTACCTCTCTGGCATACAGGATGGGAAATCTTCCATGTCTTTCTCAGCTCCAGGAGCCCATTCTTTCTATAGTGCAGTGTTTCTCAAATGGAGTGCTGCTTGGGTGCCGCACACATAATATGCAGTTTGCATTGGATCAGCATCATGTACTGCAATGGTGTCAGTGGGCCACCAGCACCATATTAACCAATGAAGCTCTAGGGCCAAGACAGCACCCAACCTGCACCATGGCATTGCATGACTCTTATCCAGGCCACCCCATCAGGAGGGAAATGAGGACAGAAGTTTGTCCAGATCAGTGCCACCTCCCACCCTCTGCCATGCTGCTCGAACCATAAACTGTGAATCCTCTGAAGGGACTCTGTGATAGAGGGGTCTCATGTCTGGGGGGGGGACTCTGATATTTGGGGTGGAATATGATGAGAAGGATCCAGCTTCTGATGTGATGAGAAGTTTTTGTGATGTAGGGGACTTTGATGAGATGGGAGGACCTCTGATGGGAAAGGGGGGGGGGGCACTGATGTGATAGAAGGATGCTGATGTAATGAAGGGATGATGCAAACAGGAGACTCCAATACGATGGGTGTAATGAGGGCATTGTGATGTGAAAGGGGCACCTGTGATAAAAAGGGTGCCTTCTGATGAGAAGTTCATTTCATTAAAGCAGTTGTGTATATTGTCCCCGGATCTGGTTTGGTATTGATGGTAAGTAACCTTTACCCTTTTTACATTTTAGACTAGGGTGACTCAAGATTTTGTATACATTTGATGGGTGCTGTGGTTGAGAAATGCTGCCCTAGTGTGTCCCTTGTTGAGTGCTGTGGTTTCTCCCACCAACCACTACATCAAAAAAGGACACAGTAGTCATCAGGAGGAACCACAGTGCCCAACAGGACATCTCATAAGTATTTTCAAAATAACCCAAACAAACAAAATTTACCCAGCACATTTACCAGATAGCTTACAAAAAAATGTCCCTGTCTATCAATTCTCATTAAAAACAGAGGATTTAGTTTGCACACACTTGTAAATATACTGTATGTGTAAGCCACAATGTCTACGTCAAGGCCCCTCTGTATACTGATGTCCTAACTGAGAGTCTCCAAGTTTGAGCACATATAGCAGTGGAGAGATTAAAGTGTTACTAAACCCACAACAGTAAAATCAGCCTGTATGTGTAGTAAAGCATGCTTGTTATACTCACTGTGGAACCTAAGGGGTAATTCCTCTGCATTGTGTAAAAACGCTGTTTGATCCTGTCTTCTCTGCTCCTCCTCTTCTTCAAATGTCCATGTCTTACCTCCTGATAAGACAGACCGAACCTGTAGCCATTTTGCACATGCTCTGGTTAGTGTGTATTGCTAGAGAGGATTTTTTTCTTGGGAGAGTGCATGTGATCAGCCAACAGGGCCAACCAGCACTGGTCAGACAGAGGTCAGGGGTTTTGCATCCTCCTAGAGCAGAAATAAAACTCCTCCTACAAGCTTTAACCAGTGCTCTGCTGAACACTGATAGAAGTCACAAGACTACTCTAACTGCCAATGAGATAAGGTATTTAGCAGTTTATATTTACTAAAACAATTGCAATTCCATGTTGTGTGTACTGTGGGAGACCAGATATAGTGAATGCAGGGTCCAGGGTTTAGTAACACTTTAAGGGCAGGTTTGCCTGAAGGGAGACCACCCCTCCATAAAGGCATAAAAACATACAGGACACCAGCAAGAGCACAACAGCAGCTGAAGGCATCCAGTGCGTCCCCGCATCTAAGTTAATCAACTGTAAAGCAAAGTGAGAGAAATGTATAGAGTTAGGACTGAGGTACACAGAGGAGCCTTGACATAGGCACTGCAGCTCACACATTCTGTATATTTGCAAATGTGTACAAACTAAACCCTCTGTTTTTAATGGGAATTGTTGGACAGGGTCAATTTGATTTTTTTTTTTTTGTAGGCTAGCTTGTAAGTGTGCTGAGAAATGTTTGTTTGCTTGAGATGTGCATTGCCCTTACTGAAAAGGCTGGTTATAGGTTGGGGTGCTATTTTTTTGTGAATTCTTGTGAATTAAAGAAAAAAAAGAAAGAAAGAAACAAGTGAAGAGAAAACAAATCAATCATGTGTCTAAGAATGGCCGTATTGTTCTAGGCTTCTGGGCTGTTAATGGAATGCGTGTTTTTGCTACAATGCGGCACAATCTAGTCATTTTTTAAAGCTCAGCCGCATGCATAGAACTGGTGAGCCAGGGAGGCTGCATGTCCCATACTGTGAAAAAAAATTGCTGCCTGTAAAATAGGATATTAAACATTCCTCTGTTTTCTATTTCAGCAGATGTCTATGCAAGGGATTGGCTTTTTGCCTAGAGATGCGAATAACTATATTTATACTTCCATTCTGAAATAAATAGCCAGTGTAACAGTCCTGGGTGAAATGTATTGTAACGATTGCTTTTGTTTTAATAAAAAGTTAAATTATTGCAGATCAGGAACCACAAACTTTGCTTTTATTATGAAATCTGAGTATTGACCCACTGACCTGGGCCAGGGAAATTGGATTTTATACATTATAGCTAGCTATTCTTGGCTTTTCTATTCTCACAGGACAGTTCTATGTTCCTGCAACATCCTCCAGACAAATGTGAACTTGTAAGGCATGGCAATGAAACAATCAACGTTGTAAATAGTATTTACAACTTATTTTGTTTCCCTTTTGCCTATAATAGCTTTTGAAGTATCTTGGTATCCCATGGGAGACGTTCATATTTTCCTTGTTGCAAGAACATGCTCAGTGCTATGCTGTGCCTCTGTACAAACTGGAAAGTTAACCACTTGACCTCTGAAAGATATTACCCCCATCATGACCAGGCTGTTTTTTTGCTGTTCATCACTGTGCTACTTTAACTGGCAATTGCTTGGTCATGCAATACTGTTCCCAAATGAAATTGTTATAATTTTTTTTCACACAACAACAAAACAAAAAAAAACTGAAGATTTTGCAAAAAAAATGTTTCTTAGTTTTTGTTAATCTTGTGACAGTATGTAAAAAAAATGAACTAATTTTTGATTAAATTTTTCAAACAATTTTTTTCTTTTTCTACTTGGCACTGTACTACTCTAGGGGGTGATCAAGGATTTTTTATATTGCTTATAACAGTGATGATCAATGTTATAAGCAGTAGTTTTACCTGTTGGGAATGGCTTTCATTCATGACAGCTTGCTTTCTATTGTGATGCTGTGATAAGCTACACCTAATCACATAGTACTGGGTGCCAGGTACCATGTGATAGCTGTGGGCCAATCACAGCTTCACAACAGTAAGCAAGCAGTCATGAATGGAAGCCATTTATGAATGTTTTGTTTACATTTTAATCATGTGGTCACTATGATTGGTCATAGTGATCACATGGTACCAAGGGCTATTATCAGCTGTGTCCACCGGACACAGCAGTCATGGGATTGCCCCATGGGTGTACTAGTGAGCATGTGCTAGGCATCCTACAGGTGATGTAGGGGTACAGTACAGTAAAAGCAGCTAGAGGTAAAAAAATAAAATAAAGAAAAAAAAAGCTAGATCAGGGTTTGAACTAGGTCAGGGTCAAGATTGGGATCAAAGGTCATATTTAGAGTCAAAGGTCAGGTTCAAATATCAGGTGCCAAAGGGTTAGAGTCCATGTAATATAGGTAGGATTAAAAGAAAAAAACATTTGTTTAAAATAGTATCAGTGTCAGAGTGTTTTAGGTAGGATAAAAAAAGCAAAATGCTATTGTTTCTGGGCCCTACTACAGGTACAAACAACAAATAACATACACATATGTGCAATCCCAGCAATCATCAGGAACATTTATTTTGGGTTGTTCTTTGGTAGTAAGTTATGTTAATGACAATAAATATACAGCCTCATTAATTTTTTTTTATTACTTTTTTTTACTGTTTTATGCCAGTTTTCCTTTGATAATAGAAAAAAAATCAGGAGATATCTATTATCATTTACCAGCAAAAGAAAGCTAGAAGCCACCTGGATATATTATGTAGTTGTGATGATATGTACAGTTGCAAAGTTGCAAAAACTGTGTTAAGGCATTTGTTTTACCCTCCGTTATGAAGGTGTTACTAGTGCTCCAGCAGCACACCAAATACCCTCATCTCCTGCAGATTGGCTTTAACATGGTTTAATATCTTTGAACTATAAATATTCTACATAAAATCTTTTTGACGGCCACTTTTACGTCACTGTTCCTGAGGCTGTATATGAATGGGTTAAGTAGTGGTGCAATAAAAGCATACAAAGCTGCAATCAACCTATCCTTATTCATGGAATAGCTTGATTTGGGTCTGAAGTACATGAAAATAGCAGAGCCATAAAACATAGTGACAACAATAAGATGAGAGGCACAGGTTGAAAAAGCTTTCTTTCTCCCAGAGGTAGACTTTATATTAAGTATTGCTGAAATGATGCGCACGTAAGACGCAACGGTTAATAAGAACGCACTGACAATGACACAGCCGCATGCCACTAGAAGGACAATTTCATTAATCTCTGTCGCAGAACAAGCCAAGTCAAGCAGAGGAGGGATGTCACAGAAGAAGTGGTTGATGGTCTTGGCACCACAGAAGGACAAAGTGAATGTGAGAACCGTATGTATTAAAGAGTTTATTGCTCCACTAATCCATGAGACAGCTATAAGCCCTAGACAGGTTCTCTTATTCATGATAACACCATACACAAGGGGATGACATATGGCATTATAGCGATCATATGCCATTGCTGCAAGCATATAGCACTCTGTGCCACCCAAGAGCAAAAAACAAAACATCTGAGCAACACAACCCAAGAAAGAGATGGATTTAATTCCTAGTAGAAGACTCGACAACAATTTGGGAACTGTCGTGGAAATGTAACAGATCTCCAGAAAGGAGAAGTTGGCTAGAAAGAAGTACATTGGAGTGTGAAGGCCTGAATTGAACCTGTAGGCTGAGATTATAGAGAGGTTGCCAATCACGGTAATGATGTAGATGAACAAAAAGACCACAAACAGTAAATGCTGGAGGGCAGGAGCTTCTGAAATCCAAAATAAATCCCACAAGAATAAATTCTTCTATTGATGTTTCGTTCATGTTTCCCATTGTGCTCTAAAAATCTGATAAAAGATCATGATTGATTAATAGAAAACTAAATTCCAGGCAATTATGGAAAAAAACATGAATAAATTCAGTTATACAGAATATTTATTTTAAAAAAATAATAATAATAATTTAAATGCAACTTGTATAAATATCTACATTTGACTTGATTTTATTATTTTGTAATCTGCTGGTGTTACTTGGGTCCAATCGTGTATTGTGCTTTCACGTGTGCTTACCAGAAACATGATGGCAGGATAAAAGAGCAGAGAGATCACCTTATCAGTCTGCTCCTGTTCCTTCGCTATCCAGCTATAGATAGAGGACAGGGAAGTGGACTTGCTGTATTACTTAACTGAGCAAAGAAGAGTCGTGTGGCAGGACTGTGTAAAGCTCATAGCTGGATAGTCAGAAATATTTTGGAAAGCAAAATAGCTTCCTGTAGCTGCTTTCCTGGAATTCAGCTTAAAAGATAAGATTCCCAGTTCCTTCAGAATCAATCATTAGTAGGTAATTGTTGCTAATTAGTTTACTTGTTGAGTACAACACTTGAGTTGTAACAACTGTTGAGTACTGTGCCCCCTTTTGCTTTACTTCATATTTTTGGTCAAGCCTTTGAGAGACGTACATCCTTCTTCAGGCCAAGATGGTACTCTGTGTATTGTGACATAAAGGAGAAAGTAGACCTCTCAACAAGATATATCAAGTAAACATTACCCCTCCAGGCCAACCCACTCTTGCCTGGATGCACATCCAGCTCATAACTGAGATATGATGACCAGACAAACGCTAAGTAGATAGCAGCCCAAGTACTCAATGCAAAGTCTTTTATTCCATAGAAACTAGGATATTAAACAGATAGAATCTGTAAAGTGTTTCATGCAAACCCATAGACTCTATGATTAAGAGAAGGCATGTGTGAAACACACTAGAGATTCCATCTGCTTGCTACCCTGCATTGAGAACTTGGAGTACCATCAACCTGGCATTTGTCTGGTCGATTGGTCTCTCAAAAGCTTGTCAGTATTCAACTCTATTGACCTTCAGGGTCTGGAATACATCAAGCTCCAGCACTACTACTCTTTTTAACACTAGTGCTACTACAACTAGTTCTGTTAAAGTGTTACTAAACCCACAACAGTAAAATCTGTATGTATATGCAGTAAAGCATTCTTGTTATACTCCCTGTGGAACCTAAAGGGTTAATCTTCTTGTGTAAAAATTATGTTTGATCCTCTCTTTTCTGATCCTCCCCTTTCTGCCATTGTCTCCTAAATATTTCCTGATAGAACAGAGGCTTGGGGAAAGCTGCACATGATCAGTTTGGTATGTATTGCTAGGTATTTTTTGGGTTTTTTCATGGGCAAGTGCATGTGCACAGGGCCAATCAGCACTCTCCAGACAGAGGTCAGGTGTCTTGCATCTTCCTACAGGAGAATGAAAACTCCTCCTACAAGCTGTAACCAGTGCTTTACTAAACACTGATAGAAGTCACAAGACTGCTATAACTGCTGATGAGAAAAGGTATGTAGCAGTTTATATTTACTACAATAATTTCATTTCCATGTTCTGTGTACTGTGGGAGACCTGATATAGTGAATGCATGGTCCTGGGTTTAGTAACACTTTAAATCTGTTATTACACTCATTATTGCTGCTATTTTCAAATTAGAAATTAAAAAAAGAAAAAAAAGAAAGGTCAACAGCTGGAAATAGGAAGAAATAGTTACAAAGTGGTAAAAAAAAGGACAACGAAACAGAGGTGGGGTTTGGACACGTCTGTGGCAGAGCAATGACGGCATCTCCTGGAAAGTTATGGCAGTCTGTATTTGCTACATGCACTTTGTCTTTAGTGCACAATTTGGTTGCACCATCTAATGTGAGTTTTTAAAAAGAATTTATGTTTTTAAAAAAAGCATTACGAGGTCTATTTATGTCTCTTTTATCCTGGAAACAGATTTCAGAGTCATGTATATTTTACAGCTCAGTATTTGTGGCAAAAGGCTCATATTGACATTTATAATTAGATTTGTTTTTTATAATTTTAAGGTCCATCCAACCAGGTGAGGTCCAGCCTACTTGAGAATCTGTCAGCACAAACCTTTTCCTGAATGGAGTGAAGCACTATTGAGTATTTTATGATTTATATTGGCCTTGGAGCACCAGAGAAACAGAATCACTTTCTTTGCACCTTCATAGGCACACACTTCTTATAACCCCCAAACCTTGTGGATTTATTGTGTAATATATTTATTTATCATATGGGTAGTGCTACCCCCCAGAGGAATCGATGAATTGTTTTCTAATTTCTCTGCACACCTGAAATGACACACCTCACCTACTGACATACCTTGAGGTATTTCAAATAATCTATTGGGCCAGGTATATCTTAAAAGAAATAATGATTAGCAAGTTTACTTATGCCATTAATTAAAAATACAATAACATCAATCTGAGAAATATAGTTAAACAGCTTCAGTATTTAACAGAGCAGCATTTACCTAGTGCTAGTATATAAATACAGTCTCAACTTGCTATACCAGTCCCCGTTTTATCACACTGGTGAGTGAATGATGGAAAAAAAAGTTGGCCTGCAAAGTTGGGGCCTTTGAAGAAAGCACAAATGTTCCCAGCAGACAACAGATTAAGTTGTGCAATATTAGCCTCATACCAGACTCAGGACACCCTCTTCTCGGTCTCCACATATGTGCTCTGATTCAGTTCAAATCCTCAGGCAGGGATATAAGGTGCTGTGATTTCTCTCTTTTTGCCCTTCTAAGACAGTCCCTTTTTTCCTTCCTTACAAGAAGTGGGGGGGTGCTCACTAGTACAGTCTGATCACACCAGGCATCCAAACCACACTTCACATCCTCCCTGGGAGAGGTTTCCCGGTCTCTGAGGCTAGGTCCTGTGCGATGAACTGTTTTGTTACTTCTCTAAAGTCTCACCCAATTGTGGTCAGCTATTGCAGGGTTCCATTGAGCCAGCAGTCCAGTCTTTTCTGACCCACTGATAACTTAAAAACTGTCCCCTTTTTCCTCTCAGAAGCCCCCTGCCATGTTGTCCTTGCTCTGTTGCATCAGCCAATCACTTTCTTTTCAGAATTAATCCAGACCAAGCCAAGATGGCTTCCCCCTGCACAGGAGATGCTCCATACACAAGCATTGCAAATTTGTCTCCTCAAAAATGGCGGCTGCACATCTGCATTGATGAATATTCAGTTTAACCCTGTCTACACTGCAAAAGAATAATATAGCAGGAACTAAAAAAAGAAATTCCTCAGCAGTTATCAACTACAGTCCACATTACACATGTATTTAGGCCTAAGTATGATATACAGTTTTTGAAAATGTTATAACTGGAAAGCACTGGAGTTGTGATTTAATTTTCAAGTTTGGCCATATTGTATATGAAAAATGTCATGCTGTGAATGTTTGGGTTTTTTGAATAGAATGTATGATTTTAGGTAGGTATTCATAAGTAGTGTAGTGTGGCATATCTATTTAAATGAATCATTATTGGGGAAATATAGTCTCTAAGTGTTTGAACATTTAGGTTTGAGGGTTTATTAGATAGGAGATAAAAAAAAAGTACATTATTTTATTAGTGTGATTAATACATTTTAAACATTTGTGTTGTTTTGTCAGGTTATAATAAAAAGAGTTTTTTTTTTTTTTAAATAAAACAGTGTCCCAAATAAAAGTCTTTATGTAATGTAAAAATCATTTAGGTTAATAAATTTAGTCATGCCGGTATTGTCAAGTCAACCAATGCATACTGATGCTGCTAACTTTGGCCTGGACATCTAGGCTTTAATGACCACTGTGCATGAAAGGTTACAATCTTGCTGTGACGTTTGCAGGCAATAAATGATCTCCATCACAGTTATTCTATCTTGTTTACTAGAATCCACATCTCTAAATATCAGGACAAACTCCATGTATTTAAACAATATGTTATAAGAATGTGAAGTAGTGATCTGAAATACATCAGATGGCCATAGAGGATGGTGTGAACACACAAAAAATGTCTACTTTTTCCAAACACCAGCTCTATCCAAATGACTTTCTGAATGGTACATGACAGCTATGTTCCTTTATAGCTAATAAGCCATTTACCTGACAGTGAATTTTGTACTTATTTTGTAATGGTAACTCTGATTGATTCCCCTGGATGCCTATGTATTTATTAGATGATTCTTCAACTCCCTTACAGTCTGACTAACTTTGTCACTTTGTAGACAACAGCACAACAACAGAATGATTTCTAATAACATTTTATAGTGAAATATTGTGAAACACAGACCTTGAAAATCCTGAGAGAGACATCTTTAAATGTATAATGTGTAAGCAGAAAAAAAAAATTGTATTCCGTTCAACATAAGACTTAATAAACAAAACTAGTGAAGCATGACTTTGCCAGAATTGGATTAACTTGCAATATCTAAACTAGTAGGAATATGGAAATGGATGTTCTTGTGAGAACGCCTTACATTTCTTAAAGGGAATCAACAGTGCTGCAAACATTTTCTTTAGACACACAGGTACTGTATGTGAATGTGTCTATGACCACACTAACTTGAATTTGTCTGTTTATCATAACAAGGTCCCTAAAAGCCTTTATGTAATAAAGAATGTTCATTTCCTAACATAGACCTAGCCTTAAGCTTGTGTACATGATGTCATGGATGGGTCATGGTAGGCAGGTTTACTGTAAATCACTGTTGTTTAGGATGTGGTCATTTAAAGGGGACAACAAGGTATATTTGGAGTACTCTGGGATTCTCACCCATGTAGGGTAAGGGGTTCTAAGATGATCCATCACAAAGGAAAAACTGACTTGCAGGACTGTTAACTGACTTTCCAGGATTGTTAAAATGGCTGAAAAGGCTCCTATTGTTTTTCTTAACTTATTAAATA